TATCCAGAGGATGTGCTCTCTAGAAGTCTCTAACCTTGCTCAACCTCAATTTCCTCCATTATAAAATGGGACTGATAATAGCACCTACCTTTTCTGGGAGGATTAAGTGCTCAATAATGTTGAGTTGTCATCATATCTTTTATCACTTCCTTGTATGTAGAAAAGCCATGGTTATTATATTAAGCATTTATTATATAACAGGTATTATATTAACTACAAGTATTTAGTCGTCACAATAATCTTCTACTGTAAGAATTATCCCCATTTGTAGATGAGGAAACTGGCAGCTAGAGAGAGAGAGATTGTATCATTTATCCCAGGAAGGTAGAGCTGGGACTCCAAAGCAGGTTCTACTCTAGAGCTTGCTGTGCTTTGCTGCCATCTGGTCACCGCCATCTTTCTTAGCATGATATAGAGCTAAATGATCACTGTGTTTTGAGACATCTCCATTAAGAAGCTCTCTGATCCCCTTACCCTTCCCCGGCTTGGCTAAGTGCCTCTGTGTTTGGTAGGACTCAGAGCTGGCTTCCATCTTTGTACTTACCGCATAGCACTATAATTCTTTGTTTGCTTCTTTGTCTTTCTCTCCCGCTGGACTGTGCTTCTTGGTTTAGGGACCATATTGTTGATTTCTGAATTCAAAATTGAGATCTTTAATAGATCTTTAATAGAGTGACTTCAGATAAATTCCCTAATGCCTCCAGCCTCAGATTCTGTAAAATGGATATTTTTAGCACCTGTTTTAGGATTGAATGAGTTAATACAGATTTTAAAAGCTTAACATAGCACCTGGCACATAGTAAATGTTCAGTAGATAGTAGTTGCTATTATTACTGTTGTAATTGTTGAATAATAACTTGTACTGTGCAGCTCAGAAAGCTCTTAATAAGTCTCATTGAATTTCTCTGCACCACTACCATGATTTTTGACTTCCCTCATCCCCATCCAAAGCCAGTGAGTTAAGCTGAGGTGCAGTATACCCACTTCTCTGGCTTACTCTCTCAAAAATGAAAGCCTTGAAAATGGAGCCCTGAGTGCTCTTCTATGAGCTTCAGAGGAGGCTTGATGCCTTGGCCAGAAGTTGCTTGCTTGTAGTGTCCCTGACTGTTGCTACCATGTCCAGCGGATTGCACATTTTAATGGCGCTGTGTTACCAATTATAAGCAATGGCTGGGATACATTCCCCCAACTAAGCAATGTCTGCTCACGGGGTAGGGGAGAGGGGGTGAATGGGGCCTCTTCTTTTGGAGTGATGACTTAGGACAAGGGGAACACAAGAGCACTAACATTTCTAAGCTCCTTTTACTATTTGTCAATCTTAATGCCAGGTGCTTGGCATTCGTTGTCTGTGGTATCTATCCTCTCTGACAATTCCGTAGGGAAGCGGCCTCCTCATTTCATGGATGTAGCTGAGGTTCCCACATGTTAAGGCAACATTTTGGTTAGCCATGGAACCAGAATGTGAACCAAAGTGTATGTAACTCGCAGTCCACATGTTTTCCTCTCCAGTATGTTGCCTCCCAACTTGGGTTCTGCTTCCAGCGTTGTCCCTATAAATAGACTCTAAGCTTTTCAGATAAGGACCTGTGCCCCATCACCTCTGGTTTAATATTTAGCAGAGAGATGCTCATCGTGTTAGGTTAATGTGGGTATAAAAACTTCCCTCTGGTAGCTGAGTGGCTTTGCACTGGGACAGAGCTGAATTCCTCAAGTGAGTAATCTCTTTTTAAAATGCCCATACGTTTTTCAGTGGTTACAAGACTTGACAGGACCTAACTTTGAATTGACTGAAGCACTCCGGGCAGCATTTAGTCAGCTCTGAAGTGGCGCTGCATCCTAGACCCGGCACAGGCAGCACAAGGAGCTGTGGAGGGCAGTGCTTTGCTCAGGGCCCCCCGAGTGCCCTGCTGTGGTGGGAGACACGCTGTCTGTCCACGAGGGGAGCAGGAGGACGAGCAGGTTCTGAGCCGAGTCCATCTTTCTCTCCATCGGCCTGTCTGTCTGAGGGCTAATCACCCTCGGCACAGGCCACACCTCAGAGACTGGAATGCAGGACCGCACAGAAGGGAGGCAGGACTAGCGAGTGCCCTACCTACCTGCTGCCAGCATTTCCCCCGAGATCAGGGTCTCCTCGGTCGCACACCCAGTGCCCAGCACTAGATAAAAAGCAGCTCTGAAAGATGTATTTCCATAGACTTTTTAGAAAGCCCATACAAATTCCTGGATATAAAAAATGAGGCATAAAACCTAGAATGTTTGGAAGTCAAGCTGAAAATTGTGGGAGCAAGTCTCCATATCCATTTATTAAATGGGAGCATAACTTAATAGTTGCACCTAGATGTCTTCTGAGAACCACTTCGATTCTGTGCCCCCTTAAGTGCTGTAGACTTGGAGCAAGATCCAAAGTTGGCGTTTGTCTGGAGGGAGAGAAGCGATGGAGTGGGAGACTGACCTAAGGAAGCTTTCATTAGGTCTGGTTGAGTGTGCAATACGTGGGTCACAACCTCCTTCTCCTTTTAATGTGCACGATTTTACCAAAATGGAGCCCCAGAGTAAGATACCGCACGCTCGTGAAGGCACGTTCTGAGCGCTGTGCGTGCCCCTTCCCTTCACTGTTGTTTTCATTTTCCTCTCCTGAACCTTGCTACCCTGGCTTCAGCACGGAGGCTCTAAAGGAAGATGGAGAGCCGAGTTACCTCAGAATGATCACTATCGTTAACATTCACGGGTGGTTCACTTATCATTCCTGACTGCACAGACATGGCAGCCGCTCGGAAGCGTCCGCAGGTGTAGCATGGTGATACATATTACATTGTGCCACAATGGATTTATGTATTCTGTAACAAAAGAAAAGTGTAATGAAAAAATACAGAAGGTAATCCTTTATTCCTCCACCACACAATTTATCAGTAATGCCTGTGGATGATAAGTGCCAGGGATTTCCTCTGCTTGCTTTAACCTTGTCACCCAGGTACGTTTTGGTAAAATGACAGAAAAATACAGACTAGGGATTTTCCTCTGTTCAAAAATCTTTTGAAAGGACACTTTTAATTTATGGAAGTTAGTCCAGACTCAAGGCTTCCTTTTGAGCTTCTAGTCTGCCTTTGCTAAAAAAGATAAACGTATTGGTTTGAAATAATGCTGTCAGCCAGCCGATTAGAAGAGAATGTAAGCAATTTATAAGCAGACTCAAATCTAAAATATAAAATAGTTCAGGTGGAACCCAGGTAGATGGGAGTTCGTGAGATCTAGCCCGGTACTAGTTTGTGCATACCCGAGAACTTGTGTTCCCTTTTAGGCCCCATTCACCCATCGCCCAACATATTGTCACAGATGGAGCGCATACTGACTTCCGAGGAGAGAGCAGGGGAAGACAAGCCTGAATGCGGATGATTGGCGTTTGTTCCAAACACACGCTGGCCTAGCGCCAGAGCAAATACCCCCAAGTTTATAAATGCACAAGGCACTTTACATTTCAGTCCTCTTGCCAAAGTATCACTTACTGCATCGCTCCCTAAATATAGTTTTTAAAAAAAGAGCTATTTCTTATTTTGCTTTGATCAGTAAAATAAACTTTTAAAGATTGTTCTGGGATGGGGTCCAGCTTCTGAGGTAAAGAATGGCTGGAGCTCAGGCATGATTCAGTAACAGAGTGTTCAGTAAAATTAGCTTGACAGTTCTCAGGCCTGCTGTTCAATAGCAAGAACTTGACCAAGTTAAAATGGATGATCGTGCTGGCTAGACCAGCGTCGGCTTTTGCTTTTTAACAAATGGAATGTCAAGGATTAAACAGCAAGCCGTATGGAGAGGAGGGGTGTGGAGATGTCTTTGTATTAGGGAAGCAAATTGGGTCCTTGATTTTGAGATCGGCCCCCAGCTCCTGTGGAAAGCCCAGCCACCTGGTTGGGTCCAAACTAGGTCCCAAAGAGGTTTAAGGCCTCTTCTCAGCCTGTCCTACCATGGGGAAGCTTTTCCATGGCTTAGCTTGAGGCTTGGCTTTTCTTTCGGATTTCTTGTCAGTATGAAGTTCTGCCATATTTTTTGGCTGTGTGTTCTCCTTTGAGATTCTTATGAGGAAATGGGAATGCGACCAAAGTCCTTGTGGTAATTCCCATGTTCCATAGTTGGAAACTTGGGTCCCATTTGTTAGATGAGCTGCTTGGAATTGGCCTGTTTTGTTCTGCTGCCTGAGCATAGTGAGTAGTGTTTGTGATACTTGCTATTGCAATTAACAGTCTTAGTGAAGTTATACCTCACCCAGGGATGGGCTTCTGTTTTTAGGGTACTTGTTCCCTACCAGCTTTTTCCTATCTAAATGAACCACTCCCTCCAAATTTGACTGACTAGAAGCTTACAGGTAGTGTCAGTATTTTGTCTTGTAGTTATTTATGCTTCATTTCATATTTTGTTTGAGCTTCTAGGACTAAATAAATTAAAACATTCCTACTGAAGTATATACAGACCGTACGTTTAAAATTTATTTATTTACTTACTTACTAGCCAGTTAGGAAGAGCCTTTTTTTCCTTATTCTAAATTGAGTTGGGCTATTGTATTTTCCCCTCCACCTCCCACCTCCCCCCCATCCTCACCCCATGACATTTTTCCTCTAGGGCTCCCTGGGCTTTAATGTGATGGTGGTCTCTGCCTGCAGTGACATCTGCTGACACAAGCCAAGTCTATTGTCAGTCCTTGCTCCGGGATTTGGCTTGGGAGCCGACATGAATAACCCACAGTACTAGTGACCCATACAGACCAATTAGATTCAATTTGAGGTAAATCAGAAAAACATTCCCTAACTCTGACCTTTCTTTCACTTAGAACTGTTTATACCAGAATGCCTCTCTCTCTCTCTCTCTATCATTAGAAGTTAGTCTGTTTTTAAATAATTAAAAAGCACTTTGAGGTACACTCAATAAACTTTATTAAACACAGTGAAGACTGCAATAACATTCCTCTGGTTGGATGTTAGTGATGATTTAATATTTATCTTTTCCTACAGAAATGCTGCTCATGGATTCTCCCTTATTCAGGTGGACAACACAAAGGTCACCATGAAAGAAATCTTGCTTAAGGCAGTGAAGCGAAGAAAAGGATCCCAGAAAATTTCAGGTGAGACCCTAGAAATAGAAGCTTAACCGTTAGTTTAAAAGTACTTGGTGTGTGCATACCTGTGCGTGTGCGTGTGTGTGTGTGTGAGAGAGAGATGGCTGGCTAGATTGTTCTAGATATCATTGCTAGAAGATTTGGTTAGCAGATCTACAGCAAAAAAAGTGATTTTTTTAAACTGCCCCTGGGCCCAAGAAAGGGACTGGGTCAGTGGCATGTGCGAGAAGAATGTGTTCCTATTGATTATGGAAGCTCCATCATTAATAATTTGTGATAGATTAAGACAAAGCTATTTGAGCTATTAGTTGGTGTAAAGCTGTCTTAAAAACCAAATCCTAAATTTGAAGGACTGCTTTTAATTTCATGTTTTCACATAATTTTCCATGGGGGAAACTTTCAGTTAGTGTTCGGGGTATGCAATAAAAGAAAAACAACTTTCATTTTTACCAAATGAGGGCAACTGTAAAAAAAAACTTTTCTAAAGATAAATCACTTGATGTGCACAAATACCTGTTAATCTTTAATTCCTCATTACCCAAATTTGTACAGAAAATAAGCTTATGGGGGCGCCTGGGTGGCTCAGTCGTTAAGCGTCTGCCTTCGGCTCGGGTCGTGATCCCAGGGTTCTGGGATCGAGCCCCACATCGGGCTCCCTGCTCTGCGGGGAAGCCTGCCTCTCCCTCTCCTACTCCCCCTGCTTGTGTTCCCTCTCTCACTATGTCTCTCACTGTCAAATAAATAAATAAAATCTTTAAAAAAAAAAAAGAAAGAAAGAAAAGAAGCTTATGGTATTAGCTATGATATTTAAAGGATATGAGGGAAAAAATATTACCAGTATTGAGAAATAATTATTTTGAGAAATAGCTCAAAGATTTGTTATACCACAGACAACTTTAATATAAATCAACCTCTATATGACATGTCAAATATCATTGCTTTGTAAATAAATGAGACTTCTTTAACACCTTTAGTTTCATCTTCTGGAAAGGAAAAAATGCATTACTCAGGTTGAAGAAAATAGTTTTGTGTTCTTTTTAAGGAGAGGCATATAATCTGTTCCAGATTTAATTAGCTATCTTCAGATGAAAGCTGAAGTTTTAATAAAAGTTAGAAGAGATAACACAGTGAAGGACACGGATGAGCTGTCTCAAGGCCATATTCCAGGGGAACGATAAGAGCTGTAAAAAATGGCAGAGGAGAGCAATTGAATGGAGCAATGAAAATCTGATTCTCATAAAAAAGAGAGAGAGAGAGAGCTGCTGGTAGGGGCGGTTGTAGATGAGACCTGCTAGCGTCTGCAAGCAATTTGGATGCTTGCCAGGAGTCATTGTTCACCCTCGGCTGTGGCGGCTCTGTCCAGATGTGCCAACTGCACGTTTCGGCTTTTGCCAGCTGACTGCGCCGTTTGATAACCAGCTCTCTGGATGCCCATCACTGGCCGCAGAGATAGAATTAAATGATGATGATCTTCCCACAAGTTGGGAGAGGAAACAATGCATATAAATCTTGATTTCATCTCAGCATGAGAAGTCTTTATCCATCATCACTCATAATGAACAAGTCGTTAGCTGGGATGAATGGTGTTCTGGTTTTTCCAAACACCTCTTTTGTTCATTTTTTTGGGTGACTTTTATCCATTGCATGGGGGTCAAACCTCTTTACATTTAAGGGATGATTGAAGAGGCATAGCCTCTCCTTCCCAGGGGAAAGTAGATATTTGGGGGTTCTAGGTGCCAATCTAATAAAGATATTTAATAAGCATGTATCTTCCTTTAGGATCCTGTTTTTTCCTCGTGTTTTGACCCTAAATTTTTTACACAATAGTGCCCATTTTGTGACACATTCATTGTATTCAAAGATAGTATTATTCCAGGTTGTCCAAGAGGAGCGGGAACCAGCTTTTTAAACCTTCTTAATAGAAATTCAGCTGTCGCAGATTTTTTTAGACCATGAAACCTTTTTGAACTTACTGAGGTGCAGCTGAACCATGTCCTTCCCTCTGTCTCCGGCTATCTCTTTCCAATTGTGTCCCTATTTATCTGTGTCCATCTCCAGCAACCACATTTATCATACACACAGTTATTTATGTTCACCTTTGTGTACACATTCCTGCCATTTCCATCAGAGACTTTGCCACATCCAAAACACAGTGATCTGCATTATTTATTCCTTTTCATACTAGAGAAGTCATTTGAGATTGATGTATTTACATAAATTACTGTCCATTTTCTTAATCCAAAAAGCTCTGTAAAATGAGAAGCCCTTTCTATTGCTTTATTAAGTCTGGTCTCATGAAACAGAAGGCTCTCCAGTTTGGCAAAGATGTTTATTTAAGGTTAGCTTGGTAAAGACGGTGTATTTTGTGATCTTGAACTTTGTATTGTGGAGTGGGCTTGTTTTGGAGGGTAATTAATGAAAAGAGGAAAATCCTCTCGTCGTAGACGGAAACACAGTATGTTTCCTTAAATTAAAAAAAAAAAAAGGCTGTTAGTGCTCACATTTGGCCATGAAATACTTATACACATTATGACACGTGAACTTAGTCATGAACTCAAGAACATGGTGGCAGGAGATGCCAGGCTAGAGACTACGTTTATCCTGCACATGACCCCCGCAGTCTCTGCAAGAAGGGGCCTGCCTCACCCCATGTCCAGGACAGCAGTGGAGTGCTCAGTCCTCTCTTCAAACAGCTTTTGCCTGATGGAGTGCAGAACACCACTTGTCTGTTTTCTGCTCTTTTTTAACTGAAGTGAGAGGCGAGATTAAACAACATGTGCCATGTGGAGGCGAGAGTTCTCACTACTGGTTTGTTAGGGGTTAGTTGCACTAAGAACAAGGTTTCAGAAATCCTTTTATAGGCTGACAGTGCACTTCTGTTGCTTATCCACAAACCTCTAACCTCTCTCCTCTTTTTTCCAGACCGACCATACAACTTTCCATTTCATAGTAATCATAAATTGAGAACCCAAACTATTTTAGTATGAAACCCAGATGTGGGTGACTACTCCAACATTTAAGTACTCTGTTGCCCTTCCCTCTGGCACTCCCTTCCCGATTTTCATTTGTAAAAAATTGGAAGGTGGCAGCTATTTGAGCAAAAGAAGTCTTCTTTGTTTAGGTAGATAGGTTTGTCAATGGAAACCCTTAGGGTTTTAAAATATTTTTTGCTTGGTATGGACAGACTATCGTTACAGGCACTTGTAGCTGATCTGGAATTTTGACTTGCATTATTTGTAATTATCATTGTCATAACTATTTATGAACACTGCAGGGTTTCTATTACTATTCATGTGCTGAACTAGAGGAGTCTTTTCACTGTGTGTTCCAGTCGGTGCTCTGCTAAGGCCCATTTTTTTTAAAGCCCATTTTTAAATGTCCCTTTTAAAGTTTCTCTACAGCTTTTCATTTTATTACTGATCCACTTGACATTTGGAAGCTACCTGCACTGGCAGAAAGTCCCCACTGTTGAAGAAAATTGTAAATGGAGAATCTGGTTTTAGAAGAATTAACTGGCACCTCTTTACTAATTTTTGTAGCTGGATGGGTGAGTTTTTGACATAATGAAGAGTAGCCAGTCAGGTCCTTTGATTTAGCTAGTAAAATATACTGACCTGTTATTTAGTGAGTGAAGTCCTTAGCTCATCACGTTCTCCTTTGGTCAAGTTCATCCTCACAGCCAGTGACCTTCTGAGCTTCTTAGTATTTTGTTGTTTAAATTTGCTATCACCCACCAACCTTTACCAGCCTCCTGAAGCATGGTGTTGGGTATGGCAGGAATGCTTAAGAAATGGAGGCAGACACAATTTCAATTTATTTATTTTTTTTATTTTTCTTAAGATTTTATTTATTTATTTGACAGAGAGAGGCACAGTGAGAGAGGGAACACAAGCAGGGGGAGGGGCAGAGGGAGAAGCAGGCTTCCCGCCGAGCAGGGAGCCCAATGCAGGGCTCGAACCTAGGACCCTGGGACCATGACCTGAGCCGAAGGCAGACGCTTAATGACGGAGCCACCCAGGCACCCCTACAATTTCAATTTTACATTGACACAGAAATGTAGTTAACTCTTGGTCTACAAAAGTGAGAAGGCTTCGAAGTGGGATGTTCCAAGCAGAATAGTTCTCTGCGCGGCTCTGTTTCAGTATTTGTTGTCATTTTGAAATGGAGGTGTTTTTCTTTATCATCTACTAAAAGATTGAACCGGAAGCATATTAACTTTTTCTTACCCTTGTTCATTCTTGCCTTTTGATGTGAAAGACAAATTTTTATTAGTCTGAAAATCCTTTTGAAAAGTTCTTAGAGTATTGTTAAAAAAACTTAAACGACATTCCTTTTTGCTTTTCCCTTATAAAATTTCACCTAGACTTTGAAAGATAAATGTTAGCTTTGTCAAGTGGACTCTCTCTTAACATCTCTGTTTAGAGTCACACACCACCTTATTGTTTGCTAATGTACTGTGTTTTCACAAGACGCCTAGGATGTCATTAGTGACGTTGTCTAGACTAAGACGCCTCCACATTATGCCCTAAAATACTCCTAGACTCAGAGAAGGCCAGCAAACAGCTACCACAGTTTGCAGAGTTCTGATCAGAAAGAGCGCTAATGATGACATCATTGGATTCTCATGTAAAATGTAAATTTTGATCCATACTGTATTTGTACTTTCATTCATCCTGTGTCCTCATGTGTCAGACCTGTGCTGGGTGCAGGGAGACAGTGGGGGGCAGATTTACAAGGCCCTTGCTGAGGAAGAACTTACATTCTAGAAAGAAGGTAAAAATAAGGGGCTGTGAGAGAGAATAATAAGATGCAACATATAGGATGGTCAGGGAACTCCTCCCTGAGAAATTGACATTTAAACTGTGACCTTCACATTTAAGCTGTGAAGAGTTGGGGAGGGCCAGTGTCATTCAAAGCAGTGGTTATTAAAGGTTTACTATATTTTAATATAAAAAGAACATTTCAGGGGCACCTGGGTGGCTCAGTTGGTTAAGCGACTGCCTTCG